CGCTCTCCCGCCTCCACCCCTCCCCCGCTCCTCCCAGCTTCACCGCAGGAGTTCCAACTGGGCCAAGGTTACCTGCATTTGGCCGGGAAAATCGCTCCCTCTAGCGCCCCTGCACTGAAGGGACTGCAAAGGCCTGTTTCCCCCTCCTCCCTCAGCTGCAGTCTCCCCTTGCAAGGCAAGAGGTGAAATTAGGTTTTTAAACATTACTTCTATTGATTGCAAAAACCATGAATGTTGAGGCTTTGAAACATAAACTTGATGAGATTTTTATTTGGGTCTTCCTAGAATTGACTTCAAGGACAAATGCACTCTGAAGATGTTACTTAATAAGAAAATGTGCTTATATTTTATTAGAGCAGAATGTAAATTATAAATGCCAAATAGCCCAGGAAAGATATTACTCCCGAATGGGTCTAATAGTTTGTTATGCTGCTTGCATATAATTGACATTATCTTTCAAGATTTGTTAAAAGTGTTCTTTCCTATATTGACCTGCCTTCTCTCCCCCTCCCCAGTAGAGCACTATCTATAGTATTTAATTATTTTCTTGGGTCATAGATTTATTAGCACCTAATTATCTCATTTGTATATTCACTGGACCTCTAAATATATCTGAAGCCCCAGAGAAGAAGAACTTATCTTTTTTCAAATTTACTGAATCTTTTTTTAAAATATATTTTTATTGATTTTAAAGAAAAAGGGAGAGGGAGAGATAGAAACACTGATGATGAGAGGGAATCATTGATTGGCTGCCTCCTGCGCGCCCCCTACTGGGGATGGAGCCTGCAACCTGGGCATGTGCCCCTGGCTGGAATTGAACCTGGGACCCTTCAGTCTGCAGGCTGAGGCTTTATCCACTGAGCCAACCCAGTTCCTTTTTTTTTTTTTTTTTTTTTTTTTTTTTTTTTTTTGCCATTTCTCATGTGTTGAGTCCATCTAATGAATACTTCTTTGTTATTTTGTCTTTCAACTTTACAATACCCATTTTTAATAGTTTGCATTTCTCTGTTGAGATTTCCTATCTGAAACATTCATTGACATCATATTTTCATTAATTTTAAAATACCTTTTCTTTTCTTTGAACATATTATTTTTTACAGCTGCTTTGAAATCTTTGCTAAATTTTAACAATTGGTCCCACTCAGAGATAATTTCTATTAATGCTCTTTTCTTCTTGAGCAAAGGTCATAAGTTTCTTTTTCTTTGCAAATCTAGTAAGTGTTAGTCAGCCTTGTAAAGACTCTGAGTTCTGTTGTATTGTTTTAAACATTGCTATTTAATTGTTCTAGTAGGCAATTAACTCTCTTTCCAGGACTCAAAATGCAAAATTAGAAAACCCCATAATGTGTAGCATTTAGTAAAAAGATAAGCTTTATAACATAAAGGTACAGGTGAGTTGAAAGTCAACAATGGAAAAGATATAATGTAAACATTATAAGCATAAAAAGTTGACATGATTATATTAATATCAGACAAAGTGACTTCAATACAAGAATATTTTCAGATAGACATTTCCTGATGACAAATAGTTTCATCAGGAAGACAAATATTTTAAAATGTATCTAATAAACAACAGAGCTTCAAATACATGGAGTAAAAAATATTGCCTGAATTAAATGAAAGAAAGGCATATCCATAATCATAATTGGAGATTCTAACATCACTTTCCAAATAACTGATAGAATAAGTACACACAAATCAGTAGATTATTAAAGATGTAAACAACCTTATTAATCAAATTGACCAAATTGACATGTACTGACAATTGCAGAATACACCATCTCTTCAAGTGCACTTGGAATATTTTCCACAATGAACCATATAGTAGGTAATTTAAAAAATCATAATAAATTTCAAAAATTGGAATCTTTCAGCATATTTTCTCTAATCACAATAGGAATAAACTAGAAATCAATAACAATAAAATATTTGGTAAGTTTTTGAGCACCCGATAGTTAAGCAACACTCTACTAAATAACCAGTGAGTCAAATAAGAAACCAAAAGGGAAATTAGAAAATACTTCAAATTGACTGATAATTAAAACACAACATATAAAACTTTGTTGGATATTGGTAATTCAGTGGTTAAAGGGAAAGTATAATATTAAAGACATATTACAATAAGACAGGTTTTAAAATACATAATGATCTAAGTTACAACTTAAGAACTAAAAGAAATAACATATTTAAGTAAGGTGAAGAAAGAAAATGAAAAAGGTTAGAATAAAAACCAAGTAAATAGAAAACAGAAAATAAGGTGATATTGACAATATCAAAAGTTGTATTTTGTAAAGATCAGCGAGATTATTAAATTCAGAGCTATAGTGATCAAGAAAAGTAGGGTAAACAAAAATTACCAGCATCACAAATAAAAGATGAGACATCACTAGTGACTTCACAGCAATTAAAATGACAGGAATGGAATATTATAACAACTTTATGCCATCAATTTTTTAAATGTAGATGAAATAAAAATTCTTTGAAGAATGCAACTTGCCTTTTTAAATACAATTATTATAAAATATAAATGTTTTGTGCATTTGAATACATATAAAGATATCAAATTACAGATATTCGATTACAGTGGTTTTTATCTAGAGTGATGACAAAAAGTAGATTCAATAAGCTATTAATTATACTGCAATATTTGGTTACTGATACTGAAAATTATCAACTATTACTTGTATAATTATAATATATTAATTCTAAATGAATACTTGTTAATGTCTGAACAACATTATCTATTAGAATAAAATTGAAAGCAACATAAATGACCCAAATAGAGGAGATTATATTAAAGATGATTAATTGTTACAGATGAATATGATGGCTGCATTGAAAAGATCTTACTACTTATCCTTGGATGGTGAAATTACTTGTAATCTTTATTTTATTTTCTTACTTTTTCTATATTTTCCATACTTTATGCAATTACATTTATTTTGGAATCAGAAAAAGCAGTAAATATTTTTAAATTCACTCTCCTCAGTATTTTTACAGTAGATTTTCTTTTATTGTCCATGGGTTCTTTCTCAGCTACTTTCAACTATTTTAACTAGGAAGATTAATTCTCATTTAATCTGGCTTTCCTTGCTACTTTAACATGACATTTCACTTCTTTTCTGAGCATTGCTTTTTTTCCTGAGCTAATGGGTATTTTTTCAGACAACTTTTCCCCCCATCATAATAGCCATCTTTACAGAAACATCTTAATACTACCCTCGTGCCTTTACTAGATAGCTTAATGCCCCAAAGGGTACTTTCTCCCCCCTTTTTGATGTGAAAGTGCATAGACTTTGGAGTCTAACAATTTAGGTTTAAACCATGACATTCCCTCTACCCTTAGACTAACATAGAACAAATTATATAACCTTTTCAACCCTAATTTTTCTATCTTAAAATGGGGGTTGTAATAGCATGTTTGTGAGATTAATGATATAAGTGATGGAAAGTGCCTCACAGAGAGTATGTTCCACGGTTGGCACGTATGTTTGCTTCTCGCTCCCTGCTTTCTTTGGTTGTTTCCTTCTGAGGCAGGATCTGATGATGGCTACAGAATTTTAAAAAATATAAGTTGTCTCGCCCTAACTGGTTTGGCTCAGTGGGTAGAGTGTCGGCCTGCGGACTAAAGGGTCCCAGGTTCGATTCCGGTCAAGGGCATGTACCTGGGTTTCGTGCACATCCCCAGTAGGGAGTGTGCAGGAGGCAGCTGA